GAGGTCAAATACATAGGTCAAAGTAGTCGAGCAAGGTCAATTAGAATAACAGAGCACGAAAACTTAGCTAAATCAAGATTGGTAGATTCTAATAAGATAAGAAATATAGAGGAAAGCTCGGCTACAGCTCTGCACGCTATTATACACAACCAAACAGTAGGATGAGATAGAGCAACAGCGTTAAAAACTAAGTTGGATGGAGGGAGAGATTGATAACTGAATCTTTGTTTATCAAATCAACACCAAATACATCCGACTGAAATGATTCTGCACCTGTCCTAGATGTATGGAAAATTCTACTACCCTTGTCATTACAGAGAAGAAGATAAAATTAAGGGTACATAAAGTCTGTCTCAAAGTTGTGGAGTTACCTGATATGAATATGAACACTAAATAAATTATGTCCGAAATGTTATCCAGTAAATGATACTGTTTCACTGTGTGACATTTCTAATAAACAGACTTAAATGGAATTAAGTGTTCAGATTATGTTTTCGACACAGTAATGTTCTCTATGCGGATAATGGCTAGGGATAGTAAACCAAAGGACCTGTAAAGTTCTTTAACCTCTCTCTTCTTCGAAAACCAGTGCTAAATGGAATTACAATCGACCACAGTGCCCAAGTTTTACTCCTATATCTGTACGCTTACCTGTTCTACAGTGAAACAAGGTTAATGAATGTACTATTAGTGACATACGTTTACGTGCAACACTCCTCATCTTCTTTGGAGTTAGTTCATTAGTTTTAACAGTGTTTGATGGGAGTCGACTGGTCTTTTTTAGAATTCCCCAATGAAGCATCCTGAAGTAATACTACAAACTCTGGCTTCGAATAACTTTATGCCAGTTACCCCTATTAATAAATTTGAAAACGCCATGACATCTTCATTTCCTGCAATACAATGGATCTTATTACACTAGTTGATGATATGTCAATACTTTACCTGAAAATGTTTTATTCTTGAAGGACATACGCATATCTACACTTAGATGGGTGGTAGTTGGTTGGAGAAAAATTGGCAGGATGCCCTGTTTATTTTTCAAGCCAACAGGAATAAACGACACACCGGTAGGAGATATGCTTATAAATGCAAAGAAATACAGTGGATTACAATTTTTGGATTACTATACTGAATTACAGATTTCGGTTCTGGTTGAATAAACTACTACCACCAAAATTACGCTCAATATTCTTTTCATTCACTTGTCCAAACTATTTGCTTACGCAATATCACGTACTTGTTTCACACTGCGCCTTTTATTACTGTTATTATCAATATCATTCAAATGTAATGACTACTTCGCTTAAAAATATGGTGCAGGGAATGAATTTGTCGAACCATTACACGCTGAGAACTCCATACTGTACCACGTCTTGTTTGGAATAAAGTCCTTATTATTGTTGACCTGGGTTTCGTGCTTTTTGGTACTCACCAGCAATCTCGAGGGAGGTGATATCCCCTCTGGGATTCGAACCTGTATCACCCGGGCTTGCAGTTAGTGACATAACTACTCAGCCATTCGGGCCTAGGGTCTGAGTCCCGGAGGGGACAACAGTTTGTTTGAAGTTGCAGATACACCTCGGTGACAATTGCTAACGAACACGGTATAGGGCTTCCTGCCGATTACCCCAAAAAGTGGGTACATTTAAGTCACTGCGATCAATTTTCAGGTGTGAATGTTAGCAGATAGATCCACTTTTGTATGGGGATTTACAAATAACTTTTAAGACGCTTGGGCATAATGTTTTTTTGAAAACAACTAGTCACTTTCATAAATTCGAATAGATTAGTTAATTAATTAAAGACGAAGTTTATCTGAACAAAGCAATCTATTTGTACAATGCATTTTCAGTAACCAGACCATACATTAGCGTATTAAATGAATTTGCACAAAAACCGACAAACAGAACAATTATGATGATGAGAGATTAGAATTAAGAAGGGTAAAGAAGGAAGGAAATGACATTTGATCTTCATTTAGGGAATCAAATAAAGCTTACCAAGTGTAGTGTACATACAAAGATGGTTCTAATTTGCGTACGGGTTATCGTCGGACGTACGACCTAACAGTCTCAGAGCGGTACGAGCCTGGTAGACTATGAACCTAAAGTGAAACGAATCTACTCTAACGCAAATCAGAACGTCAACCACAACAACAATACCACGGACGCGCAGACTAAAAGAGAAGATAGACAGCCTTTACTGTCTCAACAACAGTCAATACAGTTGACAGCGATGCTGAAAACATACATTTCTAAATTACTTTGACAACACTAAATCCATAAATAGGTAGAAATAATTGACAGCCAATGACGGTTCAACCTTAAGAGCAAGGGGAAGGAAAAGTAGTAAGGTTGAGAAAACAGCTTTGTAGGTTATTTTAAAGTCAAGGGCAAAACAGCAGATTAAGCTCTGAAAAATTAAAAGTATTCAGCAGTATGGCTATCGCTTACGCAGATATTCGTATGAGCCCCTGGTTGTTTGAACACTCATTCTGTTACCCGTTTCTATAATACTTTTAGTTATCGATGAAGAGGGTTGTCTCCTACCTACGCTTATCAAAGTTCCAATTCCGAGGTGTTTTTGAAGGTATTCTACTGCATATTCTACCATCCTGAATTGCATGGCTCCATTACTCTTGCCTAAATATGTCCTTGAGCAAATATAAACCGATAAATACGATGGGATTTAATGCAACCATTTAAGCAGTGTTTACGTTTGTGACGAAGCATATGGTTTGTTTTTTTTCAAAAGTAATAAGACAGGTTGCTTAACATATTTTACTGATGGTGGATCTTAGCCTTCGTCTCAAAATTGTACCATTACAGTTCCCCCTGTATGATAGTGAAATGAATAATTTTCCTAAGAACCAAGTAGAGTGGGGTTTGTTGTTAGTTGATTTCAACGGATATTTGCTGTGTTTCGGTCAATAACTTGATATCTTCGTTTATTGTGTCTGATACAAATATACAACAGATTCTACTAAATAGGTATTTTATCAAATCTTGCTTGTACTTGGATTCGATAAAAACTGTGAAAACTAGGACACTGTCCTTTCCATCAACCATTTCAATGAACTATCTCTCCGACTCAAGAGTACATCTTCGTCACGTATCAGACCAAGATTTTGTATAATGTCAAGTCTCTTAAACAGGCTTAATATATATGCTTTTCGTTGCCACAAATCACTCTGATGTCCACAGCTATAGCAGAAACTTGTCGAAAGTGTTCGCTTTCAAACGGAAAATGAACTGTAACAGTATGTAACAATAACAACTCTCTTACATAATTTGAAGAGATAGAGAATAAGAGGTTGCTAGAAAACATGTGATGGAGAATCTATATTCAAAGAGAACATGGTCATTTTAATGACATTCATGTCACTAATACATGTTCACAAGTACCTTTCAATGAAAGCTCAGGACTCATTACAAATCGAATTTAAAATATTCGCAAGTTTATATGTGAGGAAACAACGCCATCTAAGATGCATCGGACTGTTACGTAATACATATAAATTCGGAAATTCAAACCCCATAGGTTTCAATGAATTAAATTCCTCTATGTTAATAACATTCATATTTAAGAGTTTTGCTAAATTAGAGATTACTTTCATTTCCAATTTGTTAACTTGATGGAAAATTGGCTATGAATTCACTAAGGGTGAACAACATCTTATTTTTATAGTCACATTTATTCACCACAATGACATTTATTCTCTTATCGGGGTTGAGAATGATTATGTCAAACCTACATCGTAATTCTTTCAAAGAAATGTTGAGAATTTAAAATATTTCTTCGTCTTAATCCTGAACTATGGAATTGATGAACGACATTGACCAGTTCAGTCTTTAATCAACTTTGATCTGATAATGTTGGCACAGCAAAATTCAAACGTTCATAAAAACTTTGAAACTGAGCATAACCACCCAAATCAGAATTTTCCGTATGTGGAACTGAAAAATTAGATCTAAGGAAACATGCCTCTTTTCGTGAGCTAAAATTACAACATAAAAGGAATTATGATAATTTGGTTGGTTGTGGCTAGCAGAGGAATCCAGGATGTGAGCTTCATCCTATTTGGGACTCGTCACCTGGATGCACCTGCACCCCACTTATGTTGTTCCCACTGAGACTTAAACCTCGTACCTATCGCTTCACACACCAAGGTGTTATCCACTATGCCATGGAAGAACGATAGCCACTTCTTGTACAATGGGTAGTAGTTATTACTATTTATTGACATACTTGTTGTTCTCCGTTGTTTTGTTGGATCGAATTGTTCGACATTCAGGCAATATCGAGGCATCCGCATAGGAGCCTATATACCAATAGAGGTCGAACAATTCGATCCAGAAAAACAACGGAGAATAACAAGTATGTCAATAAATAGTGATAAATTAGTTACATATTTATCCGGAACGAATGGAAATGAGTTTCGAAGAATATCATTAGTACAAGATCTAGATAGTTTCTACCTTGTTCTCTCTTTCGTTTCGCTGACCACATAACCCTAAAAATGAATTAATTTAATGTACAAAATATTGGAAACATTCAACAGCATACATACGGACTATGAATAAAACTGCCTAACTTTTCATTATGATTATCCATATGGGATATTAGAAGTGGAACACGATTTGAAAGGTTGGGTTGCAATTTAACGGATCGCAACACCTATTAAATTGTTTGGAAATTATACAGTGGAAAAAAGCAAGATTTGTAATACTCCATTCCCACTTCTTCAGACGCTCATTTACACTCTAGATTAGACAGTTCATTGAACAGTTTAACAGTATATGGAAGGAGTCTTTTCTCTTTGAAAATTTGAAATAATTAGTTCCTTTTATAAATCTAGATAGCGTAATTCAGCAGACGAAATTTATCTTTGTACATACGTAATTAAGTACAAAACCAGTTTCGATTAGAATCCCACCTCAGAAGATTGCTTTTTCTACTCGAAAATCAAGCCTGCAACTATGCAAAGTAACACATGTCATAAAAAAAGTGGAACAATCTTTCATTTTTATTTGTTGGGAAATACAAACATTAAAATAATGGTGTAACTCAAAAGAATCAAATCAAATACATGGACACGACATGACAGAAGTTGTTAATACTAGCGTCTGCAACAGATTTTATTGCCCGTACAATACTCAACCACAACTATACAACTAAGTGACTGAAAGAGCAATACCAAAATAATATTTATGATAAAAAAAATGCCATACGAAAATCAACTGTACAGAAAAAGATGTTTACTGACAAATCAAGTTTGATTATATGGTCCAGCTGCTAAAAGCAAATAAGGATGAACATACTGTAGTCCAAGGATTGAAGTACGCCTAGTGTAAAACACCTCATTAGCACAGGCATCCGAAACATAAGGACCAGTTGCAGGAGAATAGTAACCTAATAAATTATGACTTCCAAGTCCACCTCCTTTACCACTTTTACCTGTTTGACGTACTAACTGTTGTTTGGTAAATCGATGCAAAGTCAAAAGATTAGTTTTTGAACCTTTATCTTCAGTGTTGCCTGTAGTTGAAGTGGCAACAGCAGTTGACCAACCATTAACTGTATTCCATATTCGTAATGCACCCTCCAAACCACCTGCAGCTAAACGTCCTGAATTACCAGGACAAAATGCAAGCGATACAACTGGACCAGTTAACCATTGACTTGATTCTACATTAGATTCTTGAGATTCAGAATCACTTTGTGGCAGGTTAACGGAGGTTCGAGATGCTGAATAACCTCCCAATTGACCAACTTGATGTCCAGATCCCAAGTCCCAAAGACATGTAGTCCCACACCAACCTCCACTAGCTAAATAACGACCACAGGGTGAAAAAGCTAGACTTTGCACAGAACCCTGAAATTCAAGCAAAAGCCATATATGACACATTCTGTCAGAAAAATGTCAGTAAAACGTATAGTATATTGAAACAATCACAAAAACTGATAAGTTCCACGGTGAATCGTTGCATAAGCACAGTATACATCATTAACTGTCTCTTTAAGGTTCTCTACCAATTCAGCCACACACCTTTACCTTTACTCTTCATAACAGTTACGGTACTACAACTAACCTAAATAGGTCTCCCACCACATAGTTGTTAAAAGTTGTCTCTGTCGTACGTTGACTGTCAATATCTTTGATTATTTTCAATTGCTGTTTAAAGAGATTTCACATGGACAATGAACAGGCTACCAACTACAAACAATTTAAATATTTACTAGTGATGGATAGTGGCTAGCAGTGGAATTCAGGACGCGCACCTCGCCTTACTTAGGACTCGTCATCTGGATGTCCTTGCCTCCCAATGAATGATGTTTTCAAGCAATAACACTAATTTAAATATTTTCTGAAACTCTACAACTAACTTCTGCGTAACTGATGTGGAAGCACCATGACACATGTCCTACACTACAAAATCAATGATGATCGAACACCTGAAGCCCTCTCATCCCCTCTACCTCTACCTCTAATCGTGACGTTTCACAGCCATTTAGTAGGATAGAACGAACTGAAACGTAGCACAATCGACCAATAATAGGTAGTTGCATATCATAGTAGAGCAATAAATGGTGTAAGTTGGAGAAAGTTAAGTGAGCCTTTTGCATCTGTGTCGAGATTTCGTCAGTCACTAACACACCAAGGCTGGTTCGACTTCCCGAGTAGGCGAAATGGTTAAACTTGTTCAACCACTTCACTGTCTACTGTTTGGAGGAGCACCAACATAGACTAAAACCTGTAACAACAATTTGCATTTACGTGACGAGGAACACATCCCAAACATTCACAAACTGCCATTGAAAGCTCCCATGTATAATTTGGAAAGGGGTTTAAGGAGACAAAGGATACTTTTCCATAAAGCCCAATTGTTATCAAGAGTTCCAGAGCTGGACGAAATTAGCAATGATGCAGAAATATTCACCGAGACATAGAGGAACTATTAAAAGGTAGAAGCATGGAAGGTTGATAATGATCTGAGGAGACCTGAAAGCTGATAGATTTTTGAAGGTGGCTGGTACTTCCTGGCCGCCCACACCGTGAAAAGTTACTTCTCCTTGAGGTAGCGAAGAAAGAAGTTGGGTTAGTAATGGTGGTGCATGACCGCAGGGTTAAAACAACATCTGCTTGAGGCCGGTCAGACACGGCCATTCTGGAAGTTTGGCTTTGTCTGATTTGCATCAAACTAGAAAACCCGTACAGCCCTCACCAAAAGACCGCAGGGTACGGAGGAAGCATGCTAGCTTAAGGGTCGACCTTTGCTCACCCTGTTCCCCAAAGAAAAGGCAGCATCAAAATAGCAATGCTGATCATCTGTAAGAAAAATCTTACTGTTGTTAAACCCCCGTCTAGATAGCAGCACGACTTTACCCTCGGACGCCCAAAATAGCATGGTAATTTACACCACATCGGTAACCGCTTTTGACTAGCCGTTTCTCAAGACCCTTCTGATATGATAGGAATTCTAAGGAACAACTGCTTCACGCACATAACTCACTGGGTCGTTGCGATATTCAAGCCAAACCAGCATATCAAAGTGACAACCGCCGGCTGAGAGCCAGACCACCATTGTCTTTATAGTATTGGTCATGTTCCGTGGAACCACCATGCCAGTTATGCAGATGTCAGCTCTAGAGTTTTAGACAGAAGAGGGAAGTCATTTGATGAGGTTGTGAACCTTCATCGATTGAGTTGTCTGAGGCATGTGTTACATGTACCTAGCCAACGTCTGCCTCGCAGTAAAATGTTGGTTTAAGCTGGAAAAGATAAAAGACGACTACAGCAGTCTATGAAGTCTCTGATTGCTAATTTGAGTTGCGTGGAGGAATGTAGGGAGCAAGTGCTTCACCAGCATAGCTCGAGTCATTGTGATGTTCAAGTCCGGCCATCATGTCAAGCTGACAGCATCGTTCAGGATTCAGTATGACGCAAGTTAATGAATTCTAGGTTTAAGTGACATGAATATAATCAAGTAACTTTATGGCCTCCTCCAGTAAGGTATGTTTTTCTGTATAACTGATTACTGACTCATATATTTGTCTCATTTGGAGAAAAAACATAAATTACGAAACAACTAGAAACCTTAAGTTTATAAATTAGCTCTACGTCAGCCGACAAAATGAGATGTGCTATTAGATAGTCAACTGTCGATTCTTGACACCATAAATGAATTATCCGTTTAACAGTTTGCACCCTTAATTGTAATGTCTACTTCTCAGTTCTAGGTTTACTTAATTTATATATTGATGATCCGTAAGGAGTGCAACACCATAACAGTTTAGAGGACTTTTATTGAGTTTAATAACTTAGAGTAACAAAATTATATGAAGTTCTGTGGGATGAAACTTAAATGAAGTGATTTTTAAAAAAAACTGAAGAGATATCCAACAAAAATCTGATTCTGATTGATGGAACTAGCTAATTACCTTATGACCCGTGTATACTCTTGTTAGCCTTCCAGAACGAACATCAAACAGTCGTACAGTTCGATCAGCACTGCCAGTTGCAAGATAATTAACATTTGGATGCAAACATACGGATGTTACATCACCTTTGTGTCCAACGAAAACACGTAGAGCGTCTGGTGCATGATCAGTAGCATATAAATGTGCACTACGGTCAGCACCTCCTGTTGCTATATAATGACCATAGGTAGGAGCCCAGGTAACACACCAAACAGGTAGTAAATGATCACGCCAAGCTGTAAGAGCTCCGCCCCATATCAAAGTTGACCATAACCGCACAGTACCATCTGCGCTCACAGAAGCAAGCAGCTGGCGATCGGGACTGAATGCAACTCCAAAAACACTGCCAAGATGACCTAGTAAATCCCGAGTGAAATGGGTCTCACTAAAGTGGTAAGAAAAATCAACAGTCAGTCTGCATGAAAGTTAATCTAAAGTTGGAAAAAAAATCATTTAATTACTTTAGTTGTGCATAAACTGACTATCGTTTGAAGTGCAAAAGGCTATACTTTAAAGACTACCCAACCTGTTATCGGAGACAACAGTTAAACTTACATAATTAAACTACTATTCCACCACTTCTCATACAATTTCACCCTTTGGCATCTTCGAAATTTTGAATATCTTCATTGACTTTCACCTATTCATTCTCTTTCGTCTCGTACACCTTTGCTTAACTTCATGTTATTTTCCTGCCAACTTATTCTTTGCATACTGCTGTGAAGTGTGGCAAATTGAACCGACGCACTTTCATGCCAGGTCCTACGTTGATTTATCCGCTTACCTTTGAAACAATTGTACATGGAAAAGCTAATATTTGCTGATCGAAATCCGAATAAAATGAACCACATTTTTTCTACCACAAGGATTTCAAGCAGGATTTTTAAAAGGGGGTGAGATTAAAATGACACTTAAACCTACAAACCCACTAATAAATAAGCTTTATGGGCTAAAGGATTGCATAGACCCCATTGGGTAAAGTAATCTCGTCTGTCAATATCAATGTAATAATTGTGAGGTATAGTACATAGATTAAAGTTGTTGACTGAAATCAATTAGGTTACCAGAATAAACAAGCTTAACAAAATATAAGACGTAAGACGCTTGTAAAGTAATAAGTCTAGCGAAAGGTCCAATGGTTGCGATGCATGCAACTACAAAACTAAGCAATCGGATAGGATAAAGCAACAGTGGAGAAGAAGATGGGAAACTGAAGCCTTGTTTGTTGAACTAACATTAAACACCTCTTTCAGATGTTTAGAAAGATATGGATTTACTTTCGATATGATTATGCACAATAAATCCTGTTCCAAAAAGTCATCCAATAAATAAAACTATTTTACTGTGAAATATTCAGTAAACGAACTATCAGTGCTTATTTTATTGGTTGATTCATTTTTTGTCTAGAACTATGCATCTTATTTCAGTGTCAAATTATTGATCTCACTCAAGACGAACAAATGCACATGAATACTTATTGTCCAATACCTCCAATCTCCTCACATCATTTACTTACATTTCCGTATAAATAGCCGAACAGGAATTATTGCTGATAGTACACTAACCATTTTATAGACGGTCAATGGTAAAAAGCTAAATGCAAATTGTGCAGTGAATTTTACTAACATATAGATCTTGGTTGGATATATATCTTTTCAGAGATATAAAAATGATAGAAAAATATCTGGCTCTTATATCTGTGCTCAGCACTTCATCGTAAATCCGTCGCAAAACTGATAGAGATTATGCAAATCAAATTCCATAAAAATTCAGATCATTATTTTATATAGCATGAGTTTAGATGTGGTTTATATTTAAGAGGTGAAAACCAAATAAAACAATGTTTTAGAACCAATAAAAAATGCATGAAATGAATTGCTTATGAAATTGCTCATGAAATTGTGTTTATACACTTCATGCAAAATGACTTACTTGTTTTCATCATACAACATATTAGTCTTGACTCTCGAATCATCTTTGTCCAACAAACTTAACTCTGTAGCTGGAAGCATACGCCTCAATGACTCAGGACCTAAAGACCATACACGAATACGACCAGATCCAAAGCCAGCTGCTAGTTGTGATGAATCTTCACTAAAAGTACAACATGTTACACCACCTCGTCGAATAGCTAACGTTGATTCACCAGCTTGTGCATTACATATTGTATAAAGGACTGTACTTGTACCAATCGCTGACTTTTGTGGATTTTTTTGTTGATAACTGCGTAAGAGAGTAGATATCTCTCGAGAAAGAGCTTGTTTACTTTCGATGTATGACTCGCGAAGCTATAGAGAAAATACATAATATCGTTGAAGAAACGAAATCTGACTGCTTGAAATAGACTTATTACCACAGTAAATTTATTGATAATTTTCCATCAGATTAAGCAGCTTTAGTCGCTGCGATAAGCAAATTTTTGATTGCAATAAGCATAAACAGTGAACGCATCATAAAATAAAATAACATTTTAATTTCAATAGCTGGATGTTTCAACTGAGTAGTACACAAAGTAAAGCCATGACTTATTGATGTAAGACCTACAGCTCCACCTGCCGAGGCTTGGAGAACCAGGCAATATTATTAGTCCTTACACAATAGGTGCGGCTCACTGCCAACTGCGCGAACGCCCACACGCTCGCTAAGCGGATTTCAATCTTTTTCGAGTATAACAAGGATATGGTGGAAGAAGAAATACGATTTCAGTAATTTTAATTAATACCGACGACATCACCAGAGCTGTTTAACACAGGTGAGAGCACAGAAATCTAAACACAGCATAAATGAACGACCTCTGTTAAATAAAGTAACACATACTTTTAACCTAAATTGTAAAAATATTAGCTCCGGACTTCATCTTCGGAAACTACTATTTAAAGGCACAAAGTCCCAGTAAAATTTACAGCTTGTATAAAGGATTATTTATTTTAGATAGATGGACTGAAGTAGAACATCACAATTAATGCGTCGCTTCAAGTTGCCACATAACGACGCTAGCAAAGTGCACGGTCTTCCGAACGTGTTGAGCGAAAATCTGAGTGTTAGACGTGTGTTTTAGACCTGTGAAATGTAAAATGATGCTCCAGGATTGGTCTGCAGCTATTCCCATTGATGAAATCTCAGCTCTAATACAAAAGTCTTCTTTTGCATTCACCAGCTTGCGTCATTTCTGGTACCGAATGGCGAGATATCCGACTGCTTGCTAGAGAACGAGTGTACCGTGATGTAGTCTATTCTGTCTTGTTATACGACTGGGAAATAATCCTTAAAAATAGGAGATAAAACGGTTACAGGTTTTTGACCACAAGTGTCTTCCCAGCATTGTTCACGTATGGTGAAATCACCATGTAAGCAATGTCCTCGTCAGACAAAGGAGGGAAGGCAAGTCAGTCGATGATGTTGTGAACCTTCAGCCACTTAGGTGGCCTGTACATGTTTTGTGTATACCAAGTCATCACCTACCTCGACGTGCAATGTTACCAGAAGTCGGAAGAGGGTTACCGGTGGCTAGACGAAGTGGCACCACTGCATCAAGTCTCTGACCCTTGATCGGAGTCTCCAAGATGGCGAGAATCAGTGGTTGAGGACTCTTGGTCATATGGCTGAAAAACAATCACACTGGAGCAGATGTATTCAATATTCGATGTCTTCCAAAGTTTTTCACATTTTCACTAAACTTTATCGCCAAATTGTTTACTCTCTCATGCACCCTTGTCTACTTTGATGTCTTTTTCTATCCACTTGTTTTTTGCATGCTACTGTGAAGTGTGGCAACCTAAGCCAATGCACTGATGTGGGAGGTTCTACGTTGATTTTGCATGTCTATCTGCCACAAGATGAAGTACGGTGAAATTTGAAAGGACAAAGATATGAAAGGAAGGACGAAAAAAGTTGGACGAGAATGTGAGAAAACCTGCATACAAAAAAAGCGACGTCACTATGACCGGTTGTGAATCATGTCACCTGGAGCATCCAGACACTGATTTTTCATGCCTAAATGATCCCAGCAAGGTAACCTTTGTGACTCGAATCAACATTAGGTGACTACATCTCTTATCATGTCTCGGCGTGACTATGATTAACCATTCAGTATCAACTAAGGACTTGGCTTAATGGTAAGGCGTCCCATGTTGGGACACTTCATGTCAGAATATCAAATCAGAAAGCACTAAGATACAAGTAGTAAAGAAAGTAAGTGAAAGTTGTGGAAAGAGGAGGGACATAAAACGAAACGAAATTCGATATGACGACCAGGATTAAAACAAGGTGCTAACATGTCTATGTCACTTCAGTTTCTATTATTACGCAAACCTCAAATCGGAAGGTACTTACTTCCCTACACAACAATCAGAGACTGGATAGACTGATATCACCTCCTGCTGTAGTCGTCTTTTATCTTTTTCCAGCCTAAACCGACATTTTACTGCGAGGCAGACGGTGACTAGGCACACGTAACACATGCCTCAGACAACTCAGTCGATGAAGGTTCATAACCTCATCAAATGACTTCCCTCTTCTGTCTAAAACTCTATAACTAACCTCTACGTAACTGATGTGGAAGCACCATGACACATGTCCTACACTACAAAATCAATGATGATCGAACACCTGAAGCCCTCTCATCCCCTCTACCTCTACCTCTAATCGTGACGTTTCACAGCCATTTAGTAGGATAGAACGAACTGAAACGTAGCACAATCGACCAATAATAGGTAGTTGCATATCATAGTAGAGCAATAAATGGTGTAAGTTGGAGAAAGTTAAGTGAGCCTTTTGCATCTGTGTCGAGATTTCGTCAGTCACTAACACACCAAGGCTGGTTCGACTTCCCGAGTAGGCGAAATGGTTAAACTTGTTCAACCACTTCACTGTCTACTGTTTGGAGGAGCACCAACATAGACTAAAACCTGTAACAACAATTTGCATTTACGTGACGAGGAACACATCCCAAACATTCTCAAATCGCCGCTCAAAGTGTCCAGAAGACTCTGTATCTTGTCAGTGTTTTGATTTAACGCCACTATGTCATCTGAAAACCATAAAAGTACTGAGGAGTCTCCTATGACTAAATCAATCTTCATACGGTTAGACGAAAAGAGGAAAAGCTCCAACACACGATCACGAAAACATATGATAAGAATATAGGAAGTGAACATCCTTGAAGGACACAACTCACTGCAGGCTTTCACACGCCTTCAAGTGATCGAATACAGAGCCTTCATCGACTTGATGTGATATCTTGGCATCCTTTTCAGTGGGTGACATTTCCATAAAGCATGTCAGTCAACACATTCAAGTGTAGCTTTCAGGTCATGGAATACAGCTAGTGCTGGGTGTCGATTGACGTGCCTGTTTTAGAATCTGCCAGAGCGAATACCTGGTAGACACCCGAGCATGAAATTCGCCTGATTTTCTCAGGTATGCTGTAAACGAGCTTCACTTAGACATCTACTGGTTATGTGACCTAAAATTTTCAAGACTTTTATTCAGATTGATTCCCCTATGGTTATCACAAGAGGATTTCTTCATTTTCTTGAAGACTGGAACAATCAGTGACTACGATCAGTTAGCAGAGATCATATCTGTCTCCCACATTAAATAACACTTAAGTTAACCTGATTAATCTGCAACCAGTCTTTAAATACCTGCTGTACTGGTCTGCCTGGCCCTGTTGCCCTTCCCCGTTCCAGACAACTGACAGCTCTCTTGACTTCTGCAAGCATCGGAGACTCTACCTCAATGTTCCATTGAGGATCCCGTTGGATATCGGGGACGGAATAATAACTGAAGGCCAGCTAAGCTTTTACTTGAAGTTTTCCACCCATCGTTCCAGTCGTTTTCCCTGAGTGGATTGCAGACCCATTCTCCTCCGATGTAGTCTCACTAACCACTGAACATTTCGCCCCAGCTTCTTTGGTAGGTCTAAATAGCTGTCTACTGTTATCTACTACCGCTACCTTTTCTATCTCCAGCCTTCGCTACCCACCACTGTTTGCAGTCATCATGCAGATTTCGTATCAAGCTATATTTGATTTGCTCCTGACTCGGCTCGGAGTCAGCAGGAATGCGTTCCTGTGCATCCATTAGTTCACAATAAACTGGTGAGATCCATCGGGCCTCTTTAACACCTTTGAGTCACCTACGCTCTTCAACGCTATTTTCACAGCAGATTGCAGATGGCGCCAGGCCTCTTCTGGATAAGTGACATTGTCGCGTCTCGATAACTCTCTAGCCACGTTTTCGCTGGAAGATACCTTAGGCTTTTCATAGACGAACTTCACTAGAGATGATTTTGTTGATGGTTTTCTACATCAATTAAGGCGCAGGCATACGCGTCCTCGAATGAACGCGTGATAGCTGCCTGGATATGCCCTAGAGGGAGCGGTAATCTTACACAGACCTTCGCCAACGATAAATGATAGCAATACAACTCGTGTTCATGGTTGAGTCAAGCATACTAACCAATGAGCCAGATGTATATAGGTACGAAACTGGGACTGGTCCAATCAAAACAAAAATAATAAATGGGTTTCTGATGTACTTTTTTACATATTGTGAGAAATTGGAACACTAACTGCAGAAAATTATGAAGTAATCACTGTCACAATACTAGACTAAAGACACTCTAGGCGTGCATGGAATCTATTTATGTACACAGTAAGACGTGCATTTGTTGAGAAAGGCAAGTAGTTTTTAGGCGGACGTTAGAAGTTCGGGGTACTATGCCTAAGCAAACGAAACTTGAGAATATAAACTGATACATTAAAAGGCTCACATAACATCGAAAAGAATGACAGAAATCATGAGGACAAACATACAAAGTACCATCAAATAGACACTACCTTAGGTAGTGGGATACGATCCAAAGCTGGGGAGTTGGAATCAGACTTGCTTCCATCCTTAGACAAAGAGGGTCTCCCCAGATGTCCAGTACCAGAAATTATACCATCACGTCTCTTCTTCTTTTTGACATTCTGGTCTTCATTTTCTGGTGGGAGATAAATAGGAAGAAACAATATTCACATGAGTTACTTCAGAATAAGAAAAAAACATGTTTTGACTAGTTAAAAACACCCGTTAGCATGACTTAGAGACATTTTTGAAATAAATGAATTTTACGAGTGGTATATAATGGTTCAACTGAATCGATGACGAAGTGATCACACATGGGGAAGCTTAGGTTTAAAAACGTGAGTTGAGGTGGAACTCAAGCTATTAGTAGAGCATTTATATCAAGAGTAATAGCTAATCAGACTGAGTCATTAGTCCCAGCAGTCGGCTTCCGAGCAGATGACTCGGATTCGAACCTGATTCACCAAAGAAGATACAACTAGGTACTATTATTAACCCGCACTTAAGAAGTTAAGGCCTACTGCCAGAATCTGTATGTGATTGTTGAGCTGCATTATTTACGCATAAGTACATAAATAAATTACCTTCATTATCTGCAATACCACCTTCAGCATCATTTTGGTCAGGTCCAGTGTCGATTTCTACTGGCATGTCGAGCGCAGGGTCCCGTAATAGTCCATACAAAACAGGCTCTTTGTTGGCATCACAACGAGCCTCCCCAAACACAGCACCACGACGGCAATCAATTTGTAACTTCGACCTAGGAGGACCATTGACAACTAAGGTTCGGACGAAAATATAAATTTACTTTCAAGTGACAACTGCTCCTTTAAAATGCTTTGAACAACGCTCATGTCCTTCTCCTGAAGAAAATGGCGCAGCAGAGAATAAGATTCAGCAGAAACGCTGACGACGAACTCTGACGACCGAAATGACTCAACAAGTGGGTTCATAAATAAGTGATCTGAACTTGTGATGTTAGACAACATATTGATGTCAGACTGGTAGAAGTTCTCTTGATACTTTCTGAACATTGTCAGAAACTTTTTGGCTGGTGTCATGTTAATTTTCACAGGGCAAAATCCAAGTTACCTTCTCCAGAAATGTTTGCACTGACTAGACGGAGGTACATATGAACAAAAATAGGGAAAAGTAGTGTAGATAATTCTACCTAAAAGCATATGATTGTTTGATATTCACTAGCTAAGTTACTTTGTGTTCATCGGGTACTGAGTCCACGAACGACAGGACAGACTGATAATTGGAACAAAAATTCTCTGGTTCATCCTTTATTTCCCTAGGAACAAATACGAAGAATAAATAGAACTTACGCCTTGAAATTCAGAAATTCTTCTGCAACCTTTTCGTCTGCAAAACCTGCCTCCTGTTTCAATGCTAATTCCGCCTCCTTTGATCTTTATATACACAATACGAGTCAATACCTTGAAGTTATATTTTTGAAGGATTTTCAATGCATTGAGAACTTCTTCGTTGGAAACCATCGCTCCTCTGCTGTTCCGCCAAGTCCCAAAGACGCGAGTCCGTAAGAAACAACTGATTTCTTCGCGCCCGCTTCTAGGTCATGCGAAATGCTCCCAGGTCATTGGTGGATTCCGATTCAGTAGGTCTATCGACTCGACTGCTATATCTCAAGTTTACCCGACGGTAGGTTGAGTGGTGACTTGATTTTTAAGGGTTGTATGATTTGTGGAAGAACTCAGCAGACTAAACCATGCTATACAGGATTCTAAGAAATGGTTTCCGGCCTGATCTATCTTCTCTTTTACTTCCCACTAGGTCGGAACACCTCATTGGACATAGTAGGAGGATGCAAAAACAAAGAACGAGCATAGTCTCCGCAGAATACAGTGTAGCGTCACACACTTCCCCAAAATCAATAGCCCAGGGTTTGACGACTTTTGACATTGATGCTGACCTTGATAGATTAACTGGGATCGCTATGCTGAAGGCACCTGGTCAAGTGTGAATTCGACCACATGCTCGAACTGGGCATTATCAGACCGTCAAACAGCCCTTGGGCATCACCACTGCACATGGTTCCCAAAAAAGATAGCAACGACTGGCGTCCAAACGGTGATTACCGAAGGCTTAACGCCAAAACAACTCCGGACTGCTACCCGATACCTCACGTTTACGACCTGACTGCAACCTTATGCGGAATGAACATTTTCTCAAAATCGACTTGGTCAAAGCGTACAACCAGATACCTATGGCAGCAGAAGATATCGCGAAAACAGCCATTATTACTCCTTTTGGCCTGTTTGAATTCCTGCGCATGCCATTTGGTCTTCGGAATGCAGCACAAACATTCCAACGCTTTATGGACGATGTCTTCCGTGGTTTGAATTTTGTTCATGTCTACATCGATGACTGTCTAATTGCGAGTCCAGATAAGGAAACTCACCTTAAACATTTGGACCTCGCATTCGAAAGACTTAAAAAACATGGCATCACAGTTAACTTACAGAAGTGTGAAATAGGAGTTGAATCACTCAGCTTCCTTGGGCATACCATTGACAACAAAGGTATACGCCCATTGAGAGATAAAGTGGCGGCTATCACAAACTATCCAGAGCCGACCACTGTGAAACATCTCCGCACTTTCAATGGCCTGGTAAGTTATTACCGAAGGTTTATCCCTAACTGTGCCTCTGTCATGAGACCACTCACAGATCTACTTCGAGGAACTGCGAAGTTCGTGTCTCTGGACAACGCGGCTAGACTTGCTTTCTCTAAAGTCAAGGAAGCCATTTCGAACGCAACCATGCTTATGCATCATGACCCCAATGCTCCTTGAGTATTGCTGTTGATGCATCTGATTCAGCAATTGGAGCAGTTTTGCAACAGTTGACTGACAACCAGTGGCAACCGTTAGCCTTTTTCTCGAGGCGGCTGCAAGACGCGGAAACAAGATACAGTACATTTGGTAGGGAACTCCTAGCCATGTACTGTTCTGTACGCCATTTTCGACATTCTGTGGAAGGTCGTGATTTCATTATTTTCACAGACCACAAACCGTTAACGTTTTCCCTCAGCTCGGCGTCTGACAAATACTCCCCTCGTGAGTCGCGACAGCTGGATTACATTTCCCAGTTCACGTCAGACATCCGCCACATTTCTGGAGCAAACAACTCCGCAGCCGACGCACTATCTCGAATAGCTTCGATAAACTATATCGAGGGTATTGATCTCGTTGAACTAGCTCGGCGTCAAAAGGAAGACCTTGAGCTGCATCATGAGTTGTCGTCCACAACTCTCAAACTGCGACTTTGTCCTGTTGGATCAGACAAGGATACAATTTTGTGCGATGTCTCTGCTAGTCAACCACGCCCAATAGTTCCGAAGAGTTGTCGACGCAACGTCTTCAATACGTTGCACAAACTCTCTCATCCAGGTGTACGAGCCACCATTAGGCTTATCGCACAACGTTTCTGCTGGCCTGGGATGAACAAAGACGTTAAGGAGTGGGCCAGTCGTGCTTAGCTTGTCAAAAGTGTAAAGTCACGCGACACACGAAAAGCCCTTTAGGCTCATTTCTAGCCCCAGACATGCGTTTCGACCACGTCCATATAGATATTGTAGGACCCCTACCAGAATCTAATGGATGTACCTACCTTTTCACTGTGTTGATCGTTTCACACGATGGCCGGAAGCAGTATCCATTAAAGATATTACTGCCGAAACAGTTGCTCGTGTTTTCGTCGAAAGATGGATCGCGAACTTCGGATGTCCATCCTACGTCACAACCGACCGTGGGCGCCAATTTGAGTGCGGACTATTTCACGCTCTAACGGCACTTTTAGGTTGCACTCGGTTCCGAACGACAGCCTACCATCCACAAGCAAATGGCATGGTAGAGCGTTTCCATCGACAGCTGAAAGCTTCCCTTTCAGCTACAAACATACCTCAGTGGACCGAGGCTCTGCCTCTAGTCCTACTAGGTATTCGTAACGCGTTGAAAGTTGATGCTGGATGCACTCCTGCAGAACTCGTCTATGGGACCACTCTTCGCCTACCAGGTGAGTTTGTTTCCCCTTCAACTTTCAAACATGTTTCCGACAGGGCATCTTACGTGACTAGGCTTACAAACGCAATGCGTTCAGTTAGGCCTTCTCCGATTAGACCGCAAACGACTGATGTTTTCTTCACCCCAGTTTACAGAAGACATCACACGTGTTTGTTCGCCACGACGCTGTTCGTCGACCACTTGAACCACCCTACGACGGGCCGTTCAAAGTGATTAAGCGACACGAGAAATTCTATGTAATTGAGCGAAGCGGACGTGAAGATACTGTCAGTATCGACCGTTTGAAACCAGCTTATTTCGAAGGCAACCCCATAAGTGACGTTTCAGCTCGCTACGGCCGACCGACGGATGACTCAATTATCGAAATTCTTGACGATGTGCCTGGTAATGCACAGCTGCAACAACCATCGGCGCAACAGAAAACACGATCAGGTCGAACCGTCAGGTTCCTGGAGTATTTAAAGTCGTATTCAACTTAGTGGTGTGAAATAAGATGTGCCAACCATGTTTTTTTTTTGCAAATTTTTTTCAGAGGCACTATTTTTCTTATTTACTGGCAATGCGCAAACCCTCGTACACTTTGCCTTTTTATATCAATTTTTATTACCATGTATTGAATTTTAAAAACGGTGAAATAAGCGTAAATTTTTATTTTTCAGTATGTTTATATATAAATAATTCCCATTTTTACGAAACGTTTTCGTGGTATTAAAGACTTTTATTCATATTCCAGGTGCAACGAGCACTGGACGGAACGTCAAAAGGAACTGAGGACCTCGATCGACGTACAATTCTATTTATTGTATTCTATTATTTGATTGCCACGACACCCTAGAATAAGTTCAGACAGCCAGGGGCAACTTCACGCAGGGAGCCCATCGCAAGAGTTTTACCGGTGGAGAAACCACTGGGTTTTTACCTCCGGCTGGTGTCGTCTCAGGGTCCTCACGAACCCACTAGGGGGGAGTGATCTGTAGCGTCACACACTTCCCCAAAATCAATAGCCTAGGGTTTGACGACTTTCGACATTGGTGCTGACCATGGTAGTTTAACTGGACTCGCTATGCTGAAGGCACCCGGTCAAGCATCCTCGCCATTTGGCACGCTGTCGTGTTACGTTGCACTGCTCGTATTCGACTCTCTAGCCAGTTAGTTGGAACGCATCGGTATTTTGGCTTAACCATCCAAATATACTATTCCATCTGGCTACGCTATCGTGCTCTTCCTTGGTCTCGTACTCGTGGGTACATAACAAGTCCGAATAATTAGTGATTGGTCTTTGCGTCTGTCAAGTTCGCACCAGGACAAATCCTAAAACAGGCTCTCGTGTTCAGTACTTAACGCCTAGAACCGACTCCCAGAAGAAGTGGTGTCCACCTCACCAATTCTCTCGTTCAGAAGGGGATTGGACGAGCGCAGAAATCTACTGGAAAAGGAATAATGTAGGTTCACAGCCTTTTATCCTCAAACAAAAGATGTGTCTGCCTCTGCAAATGGGTCCCTCAAATGTCCTGCCACCAGAGAGTTGTACTCATAGTCCAGAACCTAACATTTCTTGAGCCCATGTGTAGGGTTTCTTCGTTACCCATGGATCATCCACTGCTCATCGCCTCGAACGACACCACTGAGGATTGATTTTGATGGCAAACTTGCTATATTCGGCTTCGCTTACTGACATCGACTGCAAAGAAAAGACAAAAACCACCCTAATAGAGGGTCACGGATACCAAAGATGTTAAGTTCATTGCTAGAGGGAGTTGAAGGGCTCTGTAAAGGAATTTTGTCAGATAAAAACGCAGAGCTGAAGCAGCTAACCCGAGTCTTCTTGTAAGCGTTTATTGGTTGAGACAATCCGAAAACCATGACATCCCATGGTGGGTCTGGAGGAAACCACAGGTAAGTATTCGAGCACATAGGAAATCCTTAACTCGATCAGCAACTATTCGCTCATTTGTCATAAATCTGAAAACTGCTAGGAATATGGTGGTGACTAGAAAATGCATGCTTATTACTGGACCCAATTTCTGGGAGGACAACAGAGACTTTGTTGAAAGCAGGAGGAAAGTGTAGCGTCACACACTTCTTCAGAATCAATAGCCTGAGGTTCGACGAGGTTCAACGTCGTTACTGACCTTCACAGTTTAACCGGACTCGCTAAGCTGAAGGCACGCATTCGGGCATCTGAGCCATTTAGCACGCTGCAGTGTTTTGCCGCACTGCTCGCACTCGACCCTCTGGCCAGTTAGCTGCAACGCAGCGGTACCCTGGCACGACTTCACAAACATACCATTCCACCCGACTGCGCTGCTGTGTTCATCCTTGGCCTCGTATTCGTGGGCATATAAGGAGTACGAACAATTAGTGATTGAACCCTGCGTCTGACGGGTTCACACAGGGATAATACCTAAATCTATGAGCCCGTTACTTTTTAAACATGTACATCGTTTTCATTTTGCCAGACTTCATATATAACCCCTTTCCATGTCCGACCATACTCCAATGCTTATATGTATCAAACTGACGGCAAACACTGT